GTTAGATGCTGGGGTGTGGAGATCTAATTAATTTCTGTATATTGATGTTGTATTCTTTCTAATTCACTTAATGCTAGTAGTTTGTGAATTCTTTTATATCGTGTACCTACACAATTGTGATGTCTACAAGAAATGACGGTTTTGTTTCTTCTTTTCTAGTTATTATTTTATTTGCTCTTCTTGCTGTAGTGCACTATTTAAGTTATCTGATACAGTGTTGAGTAGAAGTGGTGACAGCCGCTATCTTATTATGCTTTCAGGGGCACAGCTCTCTATAATCCACCGTTCTATATGATGTTTGCTATAGAACTTTTTGCGGAAACTTTATCTGATGAAAGAAATTTTATTTTTTTCTAGTTTGCTTCTTTATCATATACAATTGTAGAATTTTATCAAATGCTTTTTCTACATGTTTTGAGGTGATCAGGAAAAAGGTTTTCTCTTTTTTCCTTTTAATATAATAAGTTACATTGCTTTTTCAAATGTTTTATCAACTGTATCTTCCTGTAATAAACCCCGCTTGGTCTTATCCTTTTCTATTAGATTTTTTTTTTTTTGCACCTGGCTGGCATGGGAATCTGAATCCTTGACCTTGGTGTTATACTATCTTGTTATATCTGTTAGTAGAATTTATTATTAATAAAAATTTATATCCTTTTATATATAGCTGCTTGTGGTTTTCAACTTCTGGCTTTATAACTCTCTTTGATGTAGTTTTCTTTCTATATCATTGATGACTGCTGTTATCTTTATTGTGTCCATCCTTCTGATTTCTCTGGATTTACTGTGCTGTTTCCTTTCTAACTTCTTGAAATGGATGCTTAGATCATTGATTTCTTCCTTTTTTCCCTTATAACATATGAATTTAAATCTATAAAGTTCAAAACATGACATATTTAATTTCACAAATTTTGATATGAAATCTTTTTCATTCAGTTAAATTATTTTATACTTTGTATAAAGATATATTCTTTGACTTATGGATTATTTAGAAGTGTAACATCCAAATATATGGGAATTCCAGTAATCTTTTATTATTTTTTTATAGCTTAATTCTACTGTGCTCAAAGAACATATTCCATACTATTTCAATTTTTTGAAATTTGCAAAACTTGATTTATGGCTCAGAATATAGCAAATTTTGGAGGAGTATTATGTGTAGTCTTCCGTTGTTGGGTATAATGTTCTTCATATGTCAATTAGGAAATGTTTAATTCTGTTATTCAAAATTATAACTTCCTTGATTTTTATCTGTTTATTCAGTCAATTACAGGAAAGATGTGCTAAAAATACCACTATGGCTGTACATTTTGCATTATATATTTTGAAGCAAGATTGTTAGGTACATTCACACTTAAAATCATTACATCTTCTGAGTGAATCAACCCTTTTATCATTATGAAACTATTTTCTTTCAGCCCTTTGAAGATATCTCTCCATTGTCTTCTGGCTTTCATTTATTCTGTTGAGAAGTCAGCTGTCTGTCTATTTTTTGTTCCTTAGAAGGTAATGTGTCTTTTTTCTTTGTCTGCCTTTGAGTGTTTTCTCTTTGTTTTTGGTTGTCATCAATTTGACTATTATGTAGTTAGTGGCTTTCTTCAGCTTGAGGTCTGCTGTTCCTCATGAATCTGTGGCTTGATGTCCACCATCACTTTTGGAAGGTTCTCATTTATTACCTCTTCAGATTAACTTCTGTCCCAAGCTCTTTATTCTCTATTTCTGACACTACAATTCTATCTTTACCTTTATCCAATGTGTCAGATTTCCACTGTCTTCTGATCTGTCATTTTCCTGATTCTCTGCTCAGGTATATCTAATCCAGGAGTCAGAAGATTTTGGCCAGCAAGCCATCCACCTGTTTTTGTAAATAAGGTTTTATTAGAACACAGGCACCATTTGTTTACATATTGTCTGTGGCTACTTTTGCATTTCACCAACAGAGTTAACTAGTTGTAACAGAGACCATATGGCCTTAAAACCTAAAATGTTTACTGTCTTGCTCTTTATGAAAATATTTGCCAAATTCCAGTCTGATTTGCTGTTAAGTTCATCCATTGAGATATTGATTTAAATTATTGCACTTTTTATTTCTAGAATTTCCATTTTGTTTTTATTATAGCTGCTTCTTTTCTAGTGAAATTTCCCATCTTATTGTTTAATTTCTTGAACACTTTAATCATAATATCTTAGTACAGTTTCTCTAAAAAACAGAGCCAAAGGCAAAAGCTACCTGCCAACATTAATGTTTTATGGCGTTGCTAGGTCCTTCCAGCAGGGAAACAAGACATGAAGCCAAGACCAGGATTGGAGATGGTAGTGGTGATGTACTTAAGTTTTTAAGTTTCTATCAGTTAATACCAATATCTGGATTTTCTGTAATTATGTTTATAATGTCTATTTAAAAAATTTTTGGGGGCTGGCCCGGTGGCGCACTGCTACAGTGCGCCACTTGGGAAGTGCGGCAGCACTCCCGCCGAGGGTTCGGATCCCACATACAGACCGGCCGCTCACTGGCTGAGCAAGGTGCGGGAGCAACACCAAGGGTTGCGATCCCGTTGCCGGTCCCGGTCCGGTCCGGGCGCAACACTGAGGGTTGCGATCCGTTGCCAGTCACGAAAAAAGACAAAAAGGAAAAAAAAAAATTTTTTTTAGGTTGTTAAATTCTTTCATATGCCTAGTTATTTTTAAAGTTTGTGCTGTGTATTGTAGATGACAGGCTGTAGATATAATTTGAGACTGGATTATTTTTGCTTGTAGAAGTCAGTTAGGTGAGGAGCCAATCACCTTCATCTAACAAGTAATTGAACTAATTTGAAACTGGGCTTCATTCCCTTTGAAGGCTGGTCTATTTCCATTTCACTTTTATTCTTAGGATAGATCCTTCTAGGGTCCCAGTTGAAAGCCTGGGGTTTACCAATACCCCTCACCTTGACAGGACTTGGACTCCAGTTTTTGCTTCCTCAGCTCCATGGGTCTGATCACTGGTGTGCTCCACTTCTCAGCCACTTGAAAATTGGGAAATATACATTGAGTGGAAAGGTGGTGCCAAATGTGGTGCCAAATGCTGTGCTCACATTTCTGGGCTTACTTTGTGTCTGGGATCTTGGCCCTGCAAATCCTCACTAGTATGGTAGTTCTCTGATGCCTTAAAATACATTGAAAATCTTTTATGCAGTGTTTTTACTTCTTCTCACTGGGAGGATTCATCAGAAACAAGCTGTTCTGTAATAGCCAGAAGCAAAACTCCTTAGCAGTGTTTTCTACCTCTGTAACTCCTGTGCCATCCCCACCCCATCACAATAATGCTGCCCCTCTCTTCCCCTACACACATTGTGTATCTGGAAATTTTTATACCATTTTGTAACTAAATACTCCGAACTATTATTTTTCAATCAACCCTTGTTTAGATTCACTCATAAGCTTTACTGATTTATTTCATCATTATTGCTTCTTGCATCTCACTACTTTTTTCTGGATTGATCATTGATTACTGATTAATAATTTGGTTACAGAATTCTGGATTCAAAATTTTGTTTCTCATCACTTTGAAGATATGATTTTGTTTTCTTGCATCCAGTATTGCTTACAAGAAATCTGATGCCAATCTGATTGTCTCTTCTTTGTATATAATCATTTTTTTCCTTTCTGATAACTTTTAGAATTTTTCTTTATTCTTGTTGAAGTTCTTTTTCATGTCTGGTTAGAATTCAACGAGTATGTAAAAACTGAGGACTCCTGTCTTTCTTAAGGCCGAGGAAATTCTCAGCAATTATATAATCAAATATTGCCTCTTCAATATTCTCTTTATTGTCTCCATCTTTTCTCTAGAAATACTATAGCAGATTTATAAGGTCTTTTTTAAAATTCCCTTTAAAAAAATTAAGCTGTGTTATTTTGTAAACTGCTTCTTTCACTAAATATAGCATGAATGTTTTCTCATATTATGGAATATTCATTTTTCTAATATTACATTTATTTTTATTTTTATATTTTTCTTATTATAATTTTATTTCTTCATTTTTCTTTCCAGTTATATTTTCCAGAGGTTTTTCTAATACATCAATTTTTTAAAATTTTTTTAAATTGACGTATAATAATGATATATATTTATGGTATACAACATGATGTTTTGAATATTGTGGAATGGCTAAGTAGAGCTAATTAACATATGCATTACCTCACATTCTTATTATTTTTTTGTGGGGGGAACGCTTAAAATCTACTTTCTTAACAATTTCCAAGTATACAATCTTAAATCCTGTATGTATGTTGGGATTTCTGGACCTAGTCTCCACGAGCTTATTTTCCTTTTCTTTTTTTCTCTTTGTACTACATTCTGTTTTTCTCAGTTTGTGCATTTATTCAATCACTAGGGAAGCAATGAAAAAAGTAGGGAGAGAACTTGCTGCTTGAGTAAAATCACCTAAAAGTAAATTTACCTCTGTCTGCAATTGTTTACTCATGCTCAGCAGTGCCTGCTTCCTTCTTAGTTACTAGAATGTTCATATTTAAACATTGTTCGTGTACGCTTGAGTTGAGTTTCTGCAGTTGTGTTTTTAGAAATATTTTTCAGAAGGATCTGCTTAAAGTTGCTGTTATTAAAAATGTAAGAATCCCAATTATGTGCTATGTTGTGAGCGAATGCAGATTAAGTCTCAATCCCTGCTGTCATGGAAATTAAAATCAAATGTTTCAGGAAGAAAAAATTATTAAATAACCAAAAAAAAAATCCACCTACATTTTTGTGAACACATTCACAGTTATGAAATTATCTGGAAAAATGACTCCAGGGAGATTTGCTGAAGATCATGCGAGTCCCCATTTATGACAAATCTAAATGAAATGCTGTCACGTCATCAGATCCTTGGAATCTTCATGTAGCATAGTTGATTGTGACGGATGTGTGATTATCTACACAGGGGAAGACTGTTCATCTCATTTGAAAGGTGTGGAAAGCACTAGCTCATTGCAAATGTGTTATCACAGTTCTCTCTGTCCAGACCAGGTACACTGTGGCCAAAGACAGCACGTACCAGTTCTTCTTTTACCAGCCCTTCAGTCATCAGTGGAGACAAACCGACTTCTTTCCCTGCACTGTGACATGTGGAGGAGGTAAGGCACAGACTTTGCTCATGAATATTTAGAGTTCAGAGTGAGAAATTACACATTTGTGTTTTTGACACTGATTTTAAAACTGGTGTGGTAATTAGAGATGTCTAATCGCATAGTACCTTCCTCAGCCATCTGGAGTGCAAATGTCTGGAGTGTTAATGATGTGCATTTGCTCTTATTCTTTTGATAGGTGGGAAACTGGATTTGTCTTTTTTTTTTTTTTTTTTAAAGATGACCGGTAAGGGGATCTTAACCCTTGTCTTGGTGTTGTCAGCACCACGCTCAGCCAGTGAGCGAACCAGCCATCCCTATATGGGATCCGAACCCGGGGCCTTGGTGTTATCAGCACCGCACTCTACCGAGTGAGCCACAGGCCGGCCCAAGAGAAACTGGATTTGTAAAACACCTTTTACTTTTAGCAAAAAGCTAGAAACATGTTTGCATGCATTATTGCGCTTCTCTTCTTGACTGTCCTTAAAGCATGTATTATTTTTAATTTCTTATGGAAAACTTGAGAAGCAGAGAGAGCGAGTGACTTGCCTAGCCCGATCAGCTTAATGGATGTGTTGGTTCTAACATGAGTTTTCTACCTTGTCTCTCCTCAAGTGCAAGAGTATAAACTTACCAAAAAGAGAAAGAGTCTCTATAAGTGGTAAGGGGAAAGTCCTGTTTATTGTCTGCTTAGTTCAAGGTTTTCTTAGACAGTGGAGGAAGGTTTTAGGGCAAGTGTAATCCAGGGCTTCACACACGTGCTACAAAAGAAACATCTTTCAGGCTCAGGTGGAAGAAAATAGTCTATTTAATATGGAGCAGCAATAGTTCCCTGGAGTAAATAAGGAACCAAGCAGAGCCACTGTCAAAATAATCCTGTTTTTCTGAACCAAACTTTTAAATCGTGAAGAGTAAATGGTGCCAACCCAGGAACCATAAGTTACTAGAATTACCAGACAGTCTTTTTTTTTTTTTTTTTTAAAGATGACCGGTAAGGGGATCTTAACCCTTGTCTTGGTGTTGTCAGCACCACGCTCAGCCAGTGAGCGAACCAGCCATCCCTATATGGGATCCGAACCCGGGGCCTTGGTGTTATCAGCACCGCACTCTACCGAGTGAGCCACAGGCCGGCCCAAGAGAAACTGGATTTGTAAAACACCTTTTACTTTTAACAAAAAGCTGGAAACATGTTTGCATGCATTATTGCGCTTCTCTTCTTGACTGTCCTTAAAGCATGTATTATTTTTAATTTCCTATGGAAAACTTGAGAAGCAGAGAGAGCGAGTGACTTGCCTAGCCCGATCAGCTTAATGGATGTGTTGGTTCTAACATGAGTTTTCTACCTTGTCTCTCCTCAAGTGCAAGAGTATAAACTTACCAAAAAGAGAAAGAGTCTCTATAAGTGGTAAGGGGAAAGTCCTGCTTATTGTCTGCCTTCTTAGTTCAAGGTTTTCTTAGACAGTTGAGGAAGGTTTTAGGGCAAGTGTAATCCAGGGCTTCACACACGTGCTACAAAAGAAACATCTTTCAGGCTCAGGTGGAAGAAAATAGTCTATTTAATATGGAGCAGCAATAATTCCCTGGAGTAAATGAGGAAGCAAGCAGAGCCACTGTCAAAATAATCCTGTTTTTCTGAACCAAACTTTTAAATCGTGAAGAGTAAATGGTGCCAACCCAGGAACCATAAGTTACTAGAATTACCAGACAGACTTGCACTGATGCTTCCCCTAAGAGAACCAGACAGCAGTACTAGGTGTTTACCATGTGTCAAGCCATGTGCCTGGTACTCATCATCACGTTGATTCTTCCAAAAAACCCCGAGAAAGGTCTATTTTATGTATGTTTTGTGCATGAGCAAACTGAAACTTAGGAAAGGAAAAGAACGTACTCAAGGAGGTTCAGCTAGTAAACAGCACAGCTAGGATCTGGGTCCAGGTTGGTCTGATGCCAGAGTCATGCTCTGAATGACTTTGCCCTTGTGTTTCCCCTGAACCATTTACCACACTTGGCACCAGGTCCAGGTATACAGGCTTGGGTGTGGACCTATTTGAAGAGCTAGAATAAATCCACTTCTTTCATCCCATCCCAGCCCAACCCAGCCCAACCCAGCCCATTCCAGCCCCAAATCATTTCTCCCTGGAAGGCTACAGAATATCAACTTACTCAGAGAGCCAGAAGCCGAGCTGGAGTTCTGGTCTCTCTCCTTTAAACTATAGTATATCAAGGAGGATTCTTCAGTCAATGTCAGATTCTCATAAATATGCAGATCAGATCTCTCTCTTCTGGGACTTAGGCTCCTCCTGAAACCAGGAAGAAGGCTCTTTTGTGGAAAGCCCTCAGCAGGCCAGACCCCAGTGGGACCTTGTGTCCCTGGAAGTGGAAGAGAAATGGTATGAGGACTGAATGGGGCCCTAGAACGGAAGTAAAAAGTGCATCTTCCCAGTTTACCAGTTGGTTCTTCATAGGGCCAAGCTTGGGGCAATAGACCACCTGATTATGATCCTATAGCAGTGGTTCTCAAAGTGGGATTCCTGGACCAGTAGATCAGGATCTCCTGGGAACTTACTAGAAATGCAGATTCTCAGGCCTTACCCCAGATCTACTGAGTCAGAGACTGTTGGTGTGGTCCTGGCACTCTGTGTTTCAACAGGGTCTCCAGGAGATTATGGTGCATGTTCAACTTTGAGAACCACTGCCTTTAGAAAGCAATGAGTTTGGACATCAGCTGTGGCCATAGTAACATCAGTCTTTTTCCCATATCTGTGTTACTCTGGCATTATCATTTACTTAAGGATTTTTTTTAAAAAGACCTTTTGTCAACTTAAATAAACATATTTTCCAAATGAATTTAATATTACTACCTTAAGTGGAATACTATTATCTCTTGCCATAAATACAACATAATCACAAAAATAAATATAATGAAAACAAAACAGTGGAGTGCATAGCCTTCAATTTCCTGCCATCTCTAACATTCTCTCACTTTATTTTCAATTCCTCCTGAATTTTGTTGAACATTACAAGCATTTTCTTTTTTTTGTCTTTTTTCGTGTCCGGCAACAGATCGGAACCCTCAGTGTCGCGCCCGTACCGGACCGGGACCGGCAACGGGTTCGCACCCCTCGGTGTTGCGCCCGCACCTCGCTCAGCCAGTGAGCGGGAACCGGTCTGTATGTGGGATCCGAACCCTCGGCGGGAGCGCCACTGCGCTCCCAAGTGGCGCACTGTAGCAGTGCGCCACCGGGCCAGCCCTACAAGCATTTTTTGAGGCAAAAACTCCTTTAAATCTTGGAGTCGCTGACTCTCTAGCAGGCTTTAAGGGAAAGTCTTAAAGCTGACTGAGGTAAAACACTGTTTGCAATCAAGACTGTGAGCTGGATAAACCCAATGAGATCTCTTTTAACCCAGGCCTTGGCAACTTTTTTGGCCAATCCTGTTCTCCATAATTTGCATGCCAAACGTACATCAAGAGGAAGCGAGGCCTAGTGGACTGAGCAGTAGAGATGGAGTTCAAGGATCTGGATTCACTTCTTGGTCTTGCCACTAATTATCTCTGAGATGTCTTGGAGCCTTAGTTTCCCATCTGTGAATAGGACTGTCCCTCTAATAGCATTTTGGGGGACAGCATGAGATGATATATGCCTGGCAATTAGTGAGCATTCAGGAAATATCCGTTATGTTAGAAACTAAACCTGAATTTTGTCAAAAATGCGTCTGCACAGTGTCCTCCCTTGGCTGTCCCCCTTCTTGGCATTCTCAGTTATATTGGTCATGAGTGACATGCTACATGCATGACTCAAATGTCACAGTGGAAAGCTCTTGGATTTCATGGGACATACACCTACAAATGCCTGCACTCAGAAACTGAATCCTACCACCTTATTGTCAGGTGGGCCACGGTTCTGGGGAAGACAAGAGTCACGGGCCACACATGAAAGCAAAAGAGATGGTGGGGGCTTTTTTATGCTTACTCTGCAGAAAAACAAACATCTCTTTAGCTTGTTCCTTAGCTCTCACCACACAGTTATTTAGAGGGATGTTTCCATTCGCACCTATAAACTAAAGGAGAAGCTTTCTGTTCTGGGAGGAACTTTTTATGGTGGGATTCAACTTAGTTCAGTTGATTAAAGTCTGGGGAGGAGAATAGGTGTTTCTCATACTTGGGTGCCCGTGGAAAGACACAAACAGTCCTGCCGGAACCATAAATGTGCATGAGAGCACCTAGCAGTGAAATTGTCTCCAAAAATCACGCTGGATGTGAGAACAGAAGGGAGATTTAGGCTGCTTTGGGGTTTCTGCCCTTTTCTGCACACTGGCAGAATTTCAGTACATTTGTTCATAATATAGGAAGGTAATCTGCCTTATTTCTTTGCTTTTAGTTATCTTTAACCTGCAATAAAATTAAAGAGGACAATGAATTGTCTCTCCCCAAATTATAAACACCCATATGCTCCCTGTCTCCTTTTAGAAGCATGTTTCCATTTAGAACAAAGATTTTCTCTGACTCAAGGAGCTGTAATCTCATTTTGTACTTGTTTGGGGGGAAATAAAAACACATGCATGCAATCCACAAGGAAAGCATTACCAAAATTTAATTATATTAGTAATCAAATCTACATGATTTGTGTGAATGGCATTTCAGAGTTATTTTGGATAATCAGGCAAATTAGTTTGCTGGTCTCTAAGGTACCATGGGCACTTGGATGGACTTTCCTGGTCTTGTCTGTAATCATCTGCATGGGACACCTGAGATCAGTCTGGAGGAAGTATCGAGATTGCCATTGTCATCTGATATTGCAGACTTTCTGGCAGATACTGGCACCCAAGTACCATTTTATTGACTCCATTTGGATTTTCATTCTTGTGGTTTCAACCTTGTTTTTTATAATGCATACCAGTCTGTTCTTCTTACATCCAAGACATGTCTTGTAGAAGGCTGTCTAGTGATTTATAAAATCAGATTCCTCTCAGCAATCAGGATTTTAAATGTATTTTTAGACATTTAGACCAATTGGCTGAGGTGGAGAGGTTAGCTTTAGGCATTTTTCTTATTTTCTGAAGAGCTCCTTCTAGTTTTGAAAAATTACCTTAAAAAATGTTTAACTTAACATGACACTTATATAGTGACAGGAAACCTGTAGTAAGATCCTTCTGGAAATAGAAGCGTCATTTTGTGAGTTGTTTTTTAAATTCACAGCACTCTTCTATTTGGAATGTTCATTTTCCTCAGAGACTATACAAATTGGATTTAATAGAACCAGGAATAGGTGTTTATTTCTTCTGCTTTGAAGATTTGTGAGGCTGGGGTTGGGGGGACATAAGTGGATTGATTTTGTTCCTCCCTGTATAGACAGTGCTTAATTCCTCAGTTGGAAAGTTCATTGGCATTGGAGGTGCATGCACTAGGTGCACAGGGCAGCATGAGTGAAATGTGGTATATGAAAACAATGGAATATGATGAAAGAAATATTCAGCCAAACAATAACCCAGCACAAGGGTAGCTCTCAAAAAATGTAATGTTGAGTGAGAAAAGTAGAAAAGAGAACAAGATTTAAAACACACTGTCATTTATTAAGTTAAAAACAAACACACACAAAACAACATCAGACAGTTGCATATTTAAGGACACATAAATAATAAATCAGAATAGCTGTCTCTGAGGGGATTGGAATGGCAATGGCAATGGGGAAAGAAACAGAAATATAAGGAAATGAGAGAGGGGCCTCGCACACTGGGGAGAATGAAGAACTAACCTCAGCCTGAGGTCCAAACATTTCTTAAGAGGCGTCTATTGTAACTTTTTAGTTGTAAGTGCTGAGAGTATCGCCGTCACTTCAAGTAGTCGTTCTCAATCTTGGCCACACATTTTAGTCATCTTAGAAGAACCTGAGAAAGTTTTTTTTTTGTCTTTTGTCTTTTTCCGTGTCCGGCAACGGATCGCAACCCTCAGTGTCGCCCCTGTACCGGACCGGGACCGGCAACGGGATCGCAACCCTTGGCGCTGCTCCCGCGCCTCGCTCAGCCAGTGAGCGGGAACCGGTCTGTATGTGGGATCCGAACCCTCGGGCGGGAGCGCCGCCGCGCTTCCCAAGGGGCGCACCATCCAGTGCGCCACCGGGCCGGCCCATGAGAAAGTTTTTTAAAAGTACTTATTTCCCGGCCCCCAGCTGCAGTGCTTTTACTGAATTGGACCATGAAGGGTGTGGGGCTACAGCAATAGCTCGCTAATTTTCTGGTTAGGGCCCACGGACCCTTCAAACCCATTGTACAGGCTGGGTCCCCAGACCCCTCACACGCCTGGCTGGGTCAGCAGACTCCTCACACACAGGTCCATGCTAGGTAATTGGGAAAGATCCCGGGAGCCATTGGCAGATGACAGGAGCTCAGTTCTCAGCAGCTGCAGCTCACGGCAGCAGTAGCAGCAGCGGTGGTGGCCTCTCGGGGGCACCCCAGGGGGGCACTGGCAGGAACAGCTTGCAGCAACAGCACCCAGCGGCAGTAGCGACATGGGGGGCGGGGGGGCAGCACTGTGGATCAGAGCCACTCGTCCTTTATACTTAAGTCATAACCCAGGACACCTGGGTGCACATGCGCAATTATTAGGCAATAACCAAGGAACACCACCTGGGCGCACGTGGATATTTACATCAAATGCTGGGTAAGATTCTGAACATCTGAGGGGCCCTGACCTTTTTCCAGTATTTTCCCTACAAAGGGACCTGGGCGTTGCTGTATGTTGAAAGCTCCCATGTGGTTCTGTTATATAGCCAGGGCTGAGAACCACTGCGTTAAGTTTTTTAAAGAGGAAAAAACAAAAACGAAAACAAAAAAACTGCGGGCAAGTGATAATGTTGTCAACTAAAAGTGAAACAGATACAATATTCAGACTTTCCTTTTCTACCACTGTAGGTTATCAGCTCAATTCTGCTGAATGTGTGGATATCCGCTTGAAGAGGGTTGTTCCTGACCATTACTGCCATTACTATCCTGAAAATGTAAAACCCAAACCAAAACTGAAGGAATGCAGCATGGATCCTTGCCCATCGAGGTCTGTGTAATTGCCCACACATTTTTTTTACTTTAAAAAGAAACAAATCAACTGCGGCTGAGACTGATCCATCCTTGCAGGGCAATACACATTTGCATTTCCTGACTTTGAACATACACTGGTGGCAGGTGCCTGCATTCACATTTATAACTGTGGGCAGTAGGGATTAGGACACGTTTGCTCATCTGTTCACTCAGTCCAGCTCTCTGTTGTCACGGGCTATGTGTCCATAAGCCCTTTATAATGAACCTTTTTGAGCACCTCCTGCATATAAATTATTAAAGATCTCTTCATCAAGTGTGATATCTAGTCCATCTGCTAGTCATAAATACCTTTCACTCACTATTTAACTTTTAAACTGGGTCACCCATTACCACATTTTGACTTAGTGTTCACATTAAATTTAGTATAAATAATGTATTGTGCAAGGAAGTAAAAAATTTTAATGCCAAAGCAGAAAAGCCATGCATAAACTACCCTATTGCATTATTTAGTACCTGCTGACTTGGATTGCTTGGGGAAGTTTCCTGGCTTTACTACAGTATCTTAAAATAACAGCACAATATCAAGTCCCAGAATCCCCCGTATATCTGCCAGCTGGCTAAGGCAGAAGTGTGCAAGTGGAAAGGAAACGTTCTCAGTGGATTTCATTTCCTATCAGTATACTGCCCATTTTCTGCAATCCTGATTGAACATAATAATTAATGGAGACCTTTCAAAGAAAAAATTCTGTGAAATAAAGTGGCTTTCTGAAGATCCTACTAATGTGACAGTGTGTTAATATCAATTATATATTTTATCAGAATAATGATAATAAAAAGGAATAAATAGATTATCTAAATTAAGAGAATTTTTTCCTTTGGTTAATACACCTCTACTTCTGTTTTCTATATTTTTATATGCATCTGGGAATTGTTTGTGTCAGAGATGTTCCTGAAAATTAAAGAGAAAAGTGGCTGAATTTTGGGAAATGGTTCATAATACTTGGCATTGTAGTTTTGTCAAATCTGTATTAGTCAATTAATAAATGTGTTAATTGACTTAGAAATGATATTTTCATGATGATTTCATTTGTAGTGATGGATTTAAAGAAATTATGCCCTATGACCACTTCCAACCTCTTCCTCGGTGAGTTATGTTTTTCCTTTTTCCTTTTTTTTTTTTTTTCCTTTTTGTCTTTTTTTGTGACCGGTAACGGGATCGCAACCCTCGGTGTTGTGCCCGCACCGCGCTCAACCAGTGAGCAGACCGGTCTCTATATGGGATCTGACGGTCTCTATATGGTATCCGAACCCTCGGCGGGAGTGCCGCCGCGCTCCCAAGCACCGCACTCTACCGAGTGCGCCACCAGGCCGGCCCTTTCCTTTTTCCTTTTTGCAGTTTATTGGAAGTTGTTTGCAAGGAACGATAGCACCCGTGGCAATAGTCTACAGTGTATGAGGGATAGATCTGAAACCCTGTTCAGAGCTAAAGGAAAATGGGCTTTGACTCAGTAATAATTATTTCTAAGAATTAGATGAAATAGGCTGCCTCTAAGTGATGTTTCCCATCACTGGAGATGTCAAGCATATTATAGAAAGAGCCTAAAGCATTGTAATTGATCAGAAATTTGAATCTCCCACTTTTTTTAACAAAGAAGATAAATGTATTCAAAATAAAATCTCTATGGCATTCTCTACCATTTTATATTTATTTATTTATTTATTTATAAAAGGGAAATTTAATATATATGCATACATTAATAAAACCAAAAGATCTCATAGCAACAATTACTTTTGTACCTTAGTAAACTAGAAAATAAAGAGCAAACTAAGCCCAGACCAAGCAAAGGAAGTAAATAATAAAAGTTAGAGCATAGATAAAAGAAATAGAAAATAGAAAAAAAATAGAGAAAATCCATGAAACCAAAAGTTGGTACTTTGATGAGATCCACAAAATACACAAACCTTTACTAGATGGACTAAGAAAAAAGAGAGAAGACTGAAATAACTAAAATCAGAAATGAAAGAGGGCTCATTACAACCAGATTTATAGATATCAAAAGGCTAATAAAAGAATACCATGAATAATTGTTGGTCAACAATTTAGATCATCTAGATGAAGTGAATAAATTCCTACAAACACACCACCTATCAAGACTCAATTATGAAAAAACACAAAGTTAGAACAGAACTAGAGTTGGTAAGATGAGTGATTATCATTTTTATGGTTTCCTGATGAAGGACTCTCTTGAGGATTTCTTTCAGGGCTGGTGGTGTGGTGGTGAACTCCTGTGGTTTTTCTTTGTCTAGAAAATACACGATTTCTTCCCAATTTCTGAAGGATAGCCTTACTGGGTGTAGTATTCTTGGCTGGCAGTGTTCTTCTTTAGTATTTTGAATATATCATCCCACTTTCTCCTGGCCTGTAGAGTTTCTCTTGAGAAATGTGCTGTTAGTCTGAAAGGGGCTCCCATACAGGTGACTTCATGCTAAAAAGAAGCAGGGAAACCGTCATTGAGCCTTGCCAGTTTGACTGTAATGTGTCTTAGAAAGGATCTTTTTGGATTGTATCTGTTTGGGGATCTTTGAACCTCCTAGTTCTGAATGTCTGTCTTTCCCTATACCTAGGAAGTTTTCCATTATTATTTCTTTGAATAGGTTTCTCATGCCTTTTCTTTTCTCCTCCCCTTCTGGAACACCTATGATTCAAATGTTTGTGCACTTAAGGTTGTCTGCTAGCTCTCTTAGATTTTCTTCATTTTTTAAAATTGCTTTTATTTTTCTTTTTGGTCCACCTGGGTTATTTCAAAAAGACTATCTTCAAGATCAGAAATTCTTTCTCCTGCTTGTTCTAGCCTGCTGCTTAATTGTGTTTTTTATTTAGTTGAGTGAATCTTTCAGTTCCATGAGTTCTGCTACACTCTTTTTTAAGGTATTAATCTTTTTGTAAATGTCCTCCTTCATATCCTGGATTTTTTTTCTGGTATCATTATGTTGTCTGAGTCTTCTCGTATCTCAATGAGTTTCCTTAAGATTGTTGCTCAGAATTCCTTTTCAGTCATTTCAAGGGTTTCCTGCTGTATATGGTCTGGTATTTGAGAATTACTGTATTCTTTTGGTGGTGTCATATTTTCTTGGTTTTTCGTATTTCTAGTATCTCTGCATTGATGTCTGGTTATCTGGTAGAGCAGTTGCTCCTTCTGTTACTCTGCAGTGGGCTTTGAGGAGAGAGACGTCTTCTTTTACCTGGCTCCACTGGTGATTCTTCTTGTGTCAGTGCAGCCGAGTGTCTGACGGGCCGCCTGCACAACTGCTCTGGCTACTTCTGTGGCGTTGAGCCACTATTGCAGTAGCTGTGGCTGTGGCAGTGGCTGTGGTGGGCCACCAGTGTGGAAATGGTATTTTTAGATTGCTCCTTGCATGCTTCCAGGTGGGGGATGATGCCCTTGGCTCTTGGCTAGGACCCCAGTTGTGCTCTGCTTCTTACCTGCTTCCAGACAGAGGGGGCTGCCCTTGGCTCCTTGAAATTTGAATCCCGTTTTATACCTAGATTGCTTATATGGTTCTTTCTCACTGAGTTTCTATGATTCCCTAATAATATTGTCCATTAGTATTTTATAGTTTAGAGACAGTTTAAAAGATGCTTTTACACTCATATTGTAATTGGTTTAGTTCTCACGATAGCCCCATGAAGGGTTACTAGGGCAGGTGTATTATTCCCATTTGACAGAAACCTCAGTTTCAGAGGAGTTAAGTTCCCTGTGACTACAGATTGTGTATAGCAGTTAAGATTAAAGTCTTATAACTCCAAGTCCTGTGCTGTTTCAACTGAAGCACAACTGATAACTTGAGGCCATACTTTATGCAACCATCTTTGCAAACTTGAAACAAACAAACAACAAATAAATAATTTATTTTTATTTGTTTGCTTTTGAGCTGGGAACATAATCCTTGGACGTCTTGTTCGGTGTCCTGTGGAGGAGGGATTCAGAAACGGACCTTTGTGTGTGTGGAGGAATCCATGCATGGAGAGATACTACAAGTGGAAGAATGGAAGTGCATGTATGCGCCCAAACCCAAGGTTATGCAAACTTGCAATCTGTTCGATTGCCCCAAGTGGATCGCCATGGAGTGGTCTCAGGTGAGATTTGAGAACATGACACTCTTAATTCAATGTCAGATTTTGATGACTCTCTGGTATGTGCCCAACACTGTATTGACAGCATGGGGATGCAAAAGTTGTACATGAACCTGGTCCCTCCTTCTAAAGAGCTTAGGAAGACAGAGGACAATAATGTAAGAGAGACCACAAGCATCAGCATAGGTCAGGGTAATTAATATTCAGGACTGTCGTACATCTGGAAGGAACAGATGTTGAAGGAAACAGTCAATCGGGAAGTCTTCATTGCTCTTGTAGTGCTTAACTGATCTTTGAAGATATGTAGAATTTAAACAAGGAAGGGCCTAGAGAGAACATCACTGTGGGAGATGGCCAAGCAGAGATGGCTGAGCAAAGGCAGGAATGACATGAAGTGACTAAAGTTGAAAAGGACCCTAATTCCTCTAGATCAAAGAGAGAACCCATCTTACTAAGAATTGGAAGATTAAGGTGGAAATACTGACCTGACTTTAGAAGTGTGTCCTTGGTCCAATAGTCACTAAAAAGTTTCACAATTTTTTTTTTGAAGAAAATAATATATTTTAAGCAATTGAGGCAAGATAGCCTAAGATTGGGCTATCATTGGGAAAGAAAGATCAGGGGCAGAATGTACCCTATTTGGAAATCATTGAGGGGTCAGGTTGTAGGAAAAATGAAAAGAGAAGAAGGGAAATATCCCAGAGGTATGACAAGCCTTGTAAGATTAGCTCAGTATCCCCTTTCTAGGGAGATGACTGAGTGAGCCTCCAGAATAAGTGAAGTGCAGCTGGATTAGACGTGACTGACTCAAGTTCCTCTAGCTCTTCTGAGTGAGTTCTACATATTTAGTTCAACATATTCATGCGTTCATATACCTGTTCAACTGTTTATTCAATGTGTCAGCTGCCATGCTAGGAAGTAAGTAAAACTTGCTCCTACTTCCCAAAAGCTTAGAATCCAGTGGCTCAGGAGTGGAAGCAAACACATAATTGCGATACAGTGTAACACTGTGCGTGAGTGGCACCCTGTGTGCGGTATCCAAGGGACACGAGGTGAAATGATTCACTTTGTCGGAAGGTGTCAGAAACGGCTCCAGAGAGGAGGCAGCACTTGAGTTGGAACTTGAAAAAATAAGCAAGCTTGCCAGGTGAACACCTACTTCAGTCTTTTTCCAATATCCCCATTACCAGGTAAATGCCATTACCCTGTAGAACTTCATTCATACTTGTTAGGGCAGAAGTTATCAGTTCTTTTTTTGTTCACATACCCCCTAAAAGAAGTTTGGAAAATCACATACCCCTTCACATTATTTAACTTGACATCTAAATTTTTTATCACAAGTTTAAATAATTTCAAAGAATATCATTTCCAACGTGATGTGAATGCTGACATTTAAAAATAAAAGTGTTATAGCATTTAAAAAAAATGTGTCCAGTGGAATCTCAATGCCGTGATGATTTATATTGTTACCGTCTTTCATTTTCAAAACACATGAACAAGCTCTTCTTTAGCAATTTGCATATTTTACATATTTTCCCTTTGAATTCACATTTTCCATCCATTCTCCCCACAGAATTTTATCCTAATATTATGTATTTTTATGCCTTGAAGTGTTTTCTTGATTACACTATTGTACTTCTTTTCGAGAAGATATGTATAGTAATTGAAACTAATTTATTTTAGTTTCCTGTGGCCATAAGGCTCTAAATATTAAAAATGTTCTCCTGAGTTGAGTTATTATTAAATTTAATTTTAGTGTACAATTGAAACAACATAAATATATTTTAAATGTTGGTAAATAATGATTGTACAAAAAATTAAATTTTCATTTGAAATCAGTCTTTCTAAAAGATGAATGAGGCTTAAAAAAATAGTCCATATATTTATTGCCAGAATGAGACATGGGCTCAGCAATAATTTTATTGTTACTTTTTGGTGTCTATCTTTTGTTTTGTTTTGCATGTATGCACTAGAAAAGCTTGTTCACATAAATTCATAGACTGTAGTGAAAGCATTTTATTTCAACAAGGTCATTCAGTTCTTTGAACTCCTGAGTTATATGCCAAAAATCATGTGGTGGTCTGTTATAAAAAAATTACTTTTAATGATCTACCAACTGGCAATTTAATTAAGTCCTTTTTCAATCTTGTTGAAAGCAAAGAATACCATCTCAGTTGCAGAAGGATTTGGTACTTAGTCTGTAGGGACTTTCACTTTTTCAGCCCCCAATCAACATTATTTCTACAACCTGTAGAGCTTGTTTTCAGCCCATGTAAGTCCTAGCCGTGTATTTTGTGTTGGCTTTAGAGCATTTATACCACTTCCCAATCATTATCTTCACTTTATCATCATTTATAATACCAAAATGAAGCCTGGTTAACCAACTCATCTCATTCACCATAGTTAACTTCTAATACTTTTCACTTTTTTCAAAAATCAAATACATTCTCAGTGATGAGGATTTTCTATCATTGAGGATATATTCAGCTCTAAAGAGTTATTCTGGAAGTGTTGTGAACACTGACAACATCGTTGGGGTAAGTGTCCTTCCCAGAGGGGCTACTTAGAAGGAGACAATCCTCTTTTGGATTGACCACTTATAGTATAGTTACACCTGATACTATTTTCTTTCTCTTTGGGCAGCTTTTTTTTTTCTTGGCCAATATAAAATGGCTTTTCAAGATCATATATATATTTTAAATTTATAAATTTGGGGTAAGTGAGTCAGTTTCCCAGAAACAGGGTCTAATCTCAAACTTCACTCAATTCATTACAGTATTTGTTTAGTGNAAGAATGTTTATCTTCAAGGCTGAATTTCCCAGCCACCTTTGCGGGATGCCATCATGCCAAATCATCTGCATCATGTGCCAGAGTTCTGAACAATGAGATGGGAGGGGAAGCTGTTGGGTGAGAAAGTTCCTCAAAAGGGAGGCCAGCTCAGCATCTCACACCCCTTTTGTCCTCTGCCCTGCTCCTTTCTGACTGGAGCAGGGCAGAGGACAGAAGGGGTGTGAGCCACTGACAGGGTTATTGTGACCAGGGGAGAGACAGAGGTTTGAAAGCACAAAACAGGAAGGAGGCATTGGGTACATAAATGGCAGTGCCTCTTCTAGCTTTGCTCCAAAATGGGTCGTGGGTCCTTGAAAATCTCAAAACATAATTGGGTTTAATCTAATCACAAATAGATGTATGTGACATGGATCTCTACGAGAAAACGGTGGCTCAGATTCCAAGCATGCTTAGGGCAGGCTACTCACACTGATCAGAGGAGGTGGTGGGGCACGGTGGGGCACGGCAGGGTTGAAGTGGAAAAGGGTGCTTTCTGTTTACAAAACTGTTTCATATTGTGGTTGCTCACTTTTTAATGATAAAAATATCTTCTCTGAATTCAGAAGTAATAGGTGCTCATAGTACAAATGTAAACAGCAGGATAACAGCTAAAGAGAATGTGATTCTTCTGTCATCCCCCCTTTCCTGATGCACCCACCATGGCCTGTTTGTGTCCATGCTTCCAGTTTTGTGGCATACATATAAACACATACACACACACACACACACACACGAACGCATGTGCTCTTAAAAGGGATCATAATGTCTGTATTTGCTTGACACTTTTCTCTTTTGAATATTGTTTTAGTCAGAGTTCTCCAGAGAGATGGAATGACAGACCATGCACATGATGGTGGTCAGAGGAATAGGCTGTACCGTATAGCCTAGGTGCAGTGGGCTATATCATCTAGGTTTGTGTGAGGACATTCTATGTTGTTTGCATAATGACAAAATTGCCCAACAATGCATTTCTCAGAATGCATCCCTATCATTAAGTGATGTGTGACTGTGTATGAAGAGAGATATGAGAAGGGATTTGTTAGGGGCATTGGCTCACTCGATTATGGAGGCTGAGAAGTTCCACAATATGCTGTCTGTAAGCTGGAGTATCAGGGAAGCTGGTAGTGTGGCTCAGTCCAAGTATGAAAGTCTCAGAACCAGAGAAGCTGATGATGTAACTCTGTCTGAGGCTGAAGCCCCAAGAGACTGGCGGGGGATTGGGTGGGATGTCACTGGTGTGAGTCCCAGGGGCCAAAGGCAGAAGAACCTGAAGTTTGGATGCTGAAGGGCAGGAGAGGAAGGGTATCCTGGATCTGGAAGAGTGAGAGAGAATTTACTTTCCTCTGTCTTTTTGTTTCATCCAGTCCCTTGGCTGATTAGAGAGAGGGTGCCTGTCCACACTGATGGTGGAACTTCCCTACTCAGTCCACTGACTCAAATGCCAATCTCCTCTGCAAACACACTGACAGACACACCTGGGGCAGCCCACTCATTCTAATCAAATGCCAAACCACCTGGGTTTCCCTTTCAGCAGAAGAGGGATGGGTTCAGTGCCTACTGAAGCACTGTGAATAATTACTACTTTACCAGCTATCTGGGTATCCCTTAATCCAGTCAAGTTGACACCAACATCAACCACCACAAATACCTTTCTACAATAATTTATATAGGTCTGCCTCATTCTTTTTATGGACTGTATTGTATTCTATTACCTGAATATAATATAATTTACTCAGTACCAATTGTAGGACGATTAGGATATTTCTAATATTTTGCTCTTTCAGACGATGCTGTGATAAATAACCTTGTACTTTACATGTACATGTTTTCTGTAGGATAAATTCCTAAAAATGGAACAAATGGATCAAAATAGGGTGTATTTGAAATTTGAATAAATATGGGTGCATTTCTCAATAGAGGGCTGTAGCAATGTCCACTTTCACTCTTTCTGTAAGAATTCTCAGCTCCTTACACTCTTGATAACAACTGGTATTTAAGGTTTGCTATCTTAATGGTTGTGAAAATGATATCTCAGTTTTTAGCTTGGAATTTTGAATGTTTGAGTTTTGTTTGAATTTTTTTCTTGTTTAGTTTCCCTGAGTAAGCTCTTTTCCATTAATTGCCTTTTTAAATCCTTTGTCCATATCTTCTTCTGGGCTTC